ATCACGCAGCCGGGCAATCAGCGGCCCTGCCATCACACAGCCGGGCAATCAGCTGGCCGTCCCTGCATTCACGCAGTCAGGCAATCGGCTGGACGTCCCTTCAGCCAGTCCCTCCGTCGCTTCCTCCGGCCCCCTCCCCTCGAATCCTCTGTCGGGCCCTGTGAGGCGCAGAGTGATGACGTCAGAGGAGGGCGGCGGCTGCGGCGGCTGCGGCGGCATCGGCGGCTGCGGCGGCGGCGCCGGAACGATAGGTCGGTTGGCTTTCCAGGACTGCAGCTCGGGCAAGGTAACCGGGTCGGTGGGAGGTAGGCCGTACGCGGCTGGGACGGCCTCGCAGGGCCCGACAGGAACAACCTGCCTCCAGAAGCGGTGAATGCGCCAACACTGGAAGTTTTTAAGAAGAAACTGGACAACCATTTGTCCAAAATGGTATAGGGTTTCCTGCCTCAGCAGGAGGTTGGACTAGATGACCTCACTATTATTATTATTATTATTATTATTATTATTATTATTATTATTATTATTATTATTATTATTATTATTATTATTATTATTATTATTATTATTATTATAGCTAGAGAGAAGTTCCCTTAAGATGGGCTCCAGCACAAATCCAAAAGCTCGGAAGACGAAACCTCTGGTCCCGGTGACCGATCCAGATTGGATCCTACACAGTGGTGGAATTCAAATGCCTGAACAACAACTGGTTGTCTTATTCGATGCAGGCCTGGGCCCCCAAGGCTAGAACAGATTTCCTGAAGTGGCATTCATGCATTTCCGATGGGCCATTCTAGGCCTAGGAGGCCTCCGAGGCCTAGAACGGACTTCCGGAAGTGGCATCCATGCATTTCCGATGGGCTGTTCTAGGCCTAGGAGGCCTCTGAGGCCAAGAACGGACTCCAGGAAGTGGCATTCATGCACTTCTGGTAGGCTGTTCTACTAGGCCTGGGAGGCCTCCTCCATGCCTCCGAGGCCTAGACTGGACTTCCAGAAGTGGCATCCACACACCTCCGGCGGGCCATTCTAGGCCTGGGAGGCCTCCTCCAGGCCTCCGAGGCCTAGACTAGACTTCTGGAAGCCAGCCGGTTCTTTGAGTACAGCAAAACGTAGCTACCTGTTCTACCAAATCGGTGGAAACCGGCTGAATCCCACCACCGATCCTACATTATCCTGGGACACGTATATTCGCCTTCATTCGTCAGCCATTTGAGTTGGTCCAGACAAGACGCACCAACCATGATTACAGATAATCCTCAAAAAGGGGTCTATCCCCTGTGATCAGCTGACACAGATTACCTAAGCACAGAATCCGAGTTTAAGAACAGATGTATTTAATTAATTACATCCCACCTTTATTATTTTTAACCAATAACTCAACGCAGCGAACATGTCTAACACTCCTTCTTCCTGCTATTTTCCTTACAACAACAACCCTGTGGGGTGGCTTCGGCTGAGATAGGTAACCAAACTAATGGTTGTTAAGTCGAGAACTATCTGTATAGAAAGCCAGCTGTTGACTCAGTTCCAGATGTCTTAATGGGGCATCTCAAGGTTCTTTGCTATCTTCTGGGATATTTTTCTTCCCGTTTTTTGCTTGGGATTTCCTTGCGAACTTTCATTCTGCTTAACTTTCTCAAGATTAGCCCAGTGCTGTCTGCTGGGACTTAATACCATAACACGGTCATGACGTTAGATTTCTGTGTTGTACGTGCGATTATATCCCGTTTAATAAACTGTAAACGCAGAACAAGTGAACATAGGGACTTTTACGTTCGTCAAAAAGTCTCTTACCCCGAAAAGACGGGTAACCTTCTTTTCCAGTAAATTGTAAATATTCGTTATTACATGTTGTTATGTCGCCTCTGGAAACATATAAGCAGTACACTCCAGATGGAAACCTTTCTTTAATATCAGAAAATAATTGAAGGGGCTTCGCAACTGTCGATCAATCCCACACTTAGCTGTACACGCCAACGTACAACGTTACCTCTATTAAGGTTTTAGAAATTATATTTAACATTGATATAAATTGTTACCTTTGAAGGTTTAAATTGCCTTGGTGCCCGCAATTTATATTGCACCCTGTTGATGTGTGCATTTCTTAATGTCTTGTTTGCGTCTTCTAATAAAATAATTGAGGGGGTGGGGGGGAGAGGAGGAAAGATTATTTGCTTGGCATATTTCTGTATTAACTGAATTGTGCTTGCAAGACACTTAGGCACTTATGTTGAAGGATGTTATGTCTGGGCAGAGGAAACATATGTTATGAGTCTTAACAGGTAGACCCGGCAGAAAACACCACCCGATAAAGTAATTCTTGTTGTTAGTTGCGAAGTCGTGTCCGACCCATCGCGACCCCATGGACAATGTTCCTCCAGGCCTTCCTGTCCTCTACCATCTTCTGGAGTCCATTTAAGCTCACGCCTGCTGCTTCACTGACTCCATCCAGCCACCTCCTTCTCCGTCGTCCCCTTCTTCTATTGCCCTCAATCTTTCCCAGCATGAGGCTCTTCTCCAGTGAGTCCTTCCTTCTCATTAGGTGCCCAAAGTACTTGAGTTTCCGCTTCAGGATCTGGCCTTCTAAGGAGCAGTCAGGGTTGATCTCCTCTAGGACCGACCGGTTGGATCGCCTTGCAGTCCAAGGGACTCACAGGAGTCTTCTCCAGCACCAGAGTTCAAAGGCCTCAATTCTTTGGCGCTCAGCCTTTCTTATGGTCCAACCTTCACAGCCGTGCATTGCAACTGGGGAAACCATGGCCCTGACTATACGTACTTTTGTTGGCAGGGTGACGTCTCTGCTTTTTAGTATGCTGTCTAGATTTGCCATAGCTTTCCTCCCCAGGAGCAAGCGTCTTTTAATTTCTTGGCTGCAGTAAAGTAATTCTACTTTATTGTAAAGCTACATTAATAGAAACTTGTGAGCCTCAAAGAGCAATTCTCCCCCATGTTCTTTGCAGCCTGAGAAAATAGGAATAGTCTCTTCTGAGCTTCTTATCTGGCCCACTATTCAGCTGCAGGCTATGCTGTCTCTTATCTGATTATTCTTCACCCAGCCAGCTTTCATCCCCAAGATAGGACGAGAATTCACAGTCTCCTGATGATTGGCCCAAAGTCATCCAGCCAGCTTTCATGCCCTAAGGCAGGACTAGAACTCACCCTCTCTTGGTGATTGACCCAAAGCCATCTAGGTGACTTTCATGCAGAAGGTGGGACTAGAACACACGATCTCCTGGTGATTGGCCCAAAGTCACCCAGTTGGCTTTCATGCCCAAGGTGGGACTAGAACTCGCCATCTCCTGGTGATTGGTCCAAAGTCAGCAGCTGCTGCTGCTGCTGCTGCTGTTTCTTCTTCTTCTTCTTCTTCTTCTTCTTCTTCTTCTTCTTCTTCTTCTTCTTCTTCTTCTTCTTCTTCTTCTTCTTCTTCTCTTCTTCTTCTTCTTCTTCTTCTTCTTCTTCTTCTTTCTTCTTCTTCTTCTTCCTCTTCCTCTTCCTCTTCCTCTTCCTCTTCCTCTTCTTCTTCTTCTTCTTCTTCTTCCTCCTCCTCCTCCTCCTCCTCCTCCTCCTCCTCCTCCTCCTCCTTCTTCTTCTTCTTCTTTTCTTCTTCTTCTTCTTCTTCTCTTCTTCTTCTGCTTCTTCTTCCTCTTCCTCTTCCTCTTCCTCTTTTTCTTCTTCTTCTTCTTCTTCCTCCTCCTCCTCATCCACCTCCACCTCCACCTCCTCCTTCTTCTTCTTCTTCTTCTGCCATATCCATTATCGGATGTTGGTGATCATGTTGGCGATCCTGTTTTTATCAGCAGCCGCACGAAAAAGTGCTGCTGAGTTTTGTCCCAACCAGTCCCTTAGATTTTGAAGCCATGATGTTCTTCTTCTGCCTGGACCTCGTTTGCCTTTAATCTTTCCCTGGAGAATTAAATCGAGTATGCCGTATTTTTCTGGGTGTCGCATCACGTGTCCGAAATATTCTAATTTTCGTTTTTTAATTGTTTTGAGGATTTTCCCTTGGCTTTCCCAGGCGGCTTATCACCTCCTCATTTCTGATCTTGTCAACCCAGCTTTTATGTAACAGCCGCCTGTAAAAGCTACCTTTATTCCCTCCGGAATATTTTCTGGGTTTGTTTGTTTTTTTCTTTGCAGTCAGAGCCCGCTGCCCGTTCATTCGCCTCCTCGGAAGCCGACGAACAAGAAGTCCCGGAAGAAAACTTTGAAGAAAGAAAATACCCGGGGGAAATCACCTTAACCAACTTCAAGCTTAAGTTCCTTTCCAAGGAAATCAAGAAAGAGTTACTCACGTGAGTCTGCCCGCTTGGCTGTCACGACCTAAAACAGGGCTTTTCAACCTTTTCACCCATTGTACCACTTTTAGGATATGGCAACATCCGAGTACCACCAGTCACCAAAGTGTCAAAAACTTGATGACCCCCCCCCAAAAAAGGAAAAAAGTGATAAAGTACAGGTAGTCCTCGACTTACAACAGTTCGCTTAGTGACTATTCGAAGTTACAATGGCACTGAAAAAAATGCCCCCCAAGCCACAGCCGAGCAAGACACCTGCCTGCCCACCTGGCGGTGCTCTTCCTCCTGTCCGAGGTTTTCATTGTTGTGAGCATTTCTGTTGAGGATTGGCAGCGGGGGTGGGGTGGGGGCTGTTTGGTTTTTATTCCCCCCGTCTGCTGAGTGGTTGCAGCAGGTATTGGTCACATGACCCTGGGACACTGTGACCGTCATAAATATGAATCAGTTGCCAAGCATCTGAATGTAAATCACATGACCCTGGAGATGCTGCAACATTCCAGCTGATCGGCACTTCTTCTGGGCTCAGCGGAAGCACCAGGATCAGTGCTGCTTTCCAGCTGATTAGTGCTTCTTCAGGGCTTAGCAGGAGCACCAGGATCAGCACCGAGCTCCAGCTGGAGCCTGGCGCTGATCCTGGCGCTTCCGCTGAGCCATGATAGTCCCGAAGAAGTGCTGATCCTGGTGCTTCCGCTGAGCCCTGACAGGTGCCAATGTACCACAGGTGGTATCCGTACCACTGGTTGAAAAGCCCTGACCTAAAAGATCCCAGGGGGGACACCCCTCCTCTCCCTTTATAAAACGTTTTATTTTATTTCCAAAGTTAAAAGACCAAAAAAAAAGAGAGAACAAAACCAAACCAGAAAACGTAAAAAGGAGAAAAAGAAAAAAGGGGGGAAAACAACAAAACAGAACAAAACCAGAAAAAAATGTGCCTAACCACAGAAATAGCAAAGATACAGGTAGTCCTCGACTTACGTCCACAGCTGAGCCCCACATTTCTGTGGCCAAGCGAGACACTTGTTAAGCGAGCTTTGCCCCCATTTTACAACCTTTCTTGCCACGGTTGTTAAGTGAATTACTGCGGTGGTTAAGTCAGCAACTTGGTTGTTAAGTGAATCTGGCTTCCTCATTGACTTTGCTTGTCAGAAGGTCGCCAGAAGGGATCACGTGACCCTTCCCCCCAGGACGCTGCAACCGTCGTAAGTACATGCCAGTTGCCCAGCGTCTGAATTTTGACGGTGTGAACCGTGGGGATGCTGCAACGGTCGTAAGTGTGAAAAACGGTCACGGGTCCCTTTTTTCAGTGCCGTTGTAACTTCAAATGGTCACTAAGCGAACGGTTGTAAGTCAAGGACTTCCTGTACACATAATTGTACCTCTCTGGTTGACTACAGATAGATATATTTCAGCAGTCATAGTTTCCCCCATGCTACCGTCGCAAAACAGGCCCACCGTTTATGAACTTCTAGATCTCTACAGTATATATATACAGTAGTGGTCAAAATTGTGGAAACCTTTTGGGAAAAGTGTATTTTTGAGGTTTGGTGGCTAATAGCACCACTTTTTTGGGGGGAGTAGTACCATAAAATTATATATCAGTGTAAAGATAATTTAATCAAGAATGTAATGCAACATGGTTTGTTCAATTATCCGTACTGTATTCTATGAAAAGTTATAGCCAAATAGCCAGAAAAAGGAAGCACAACTTCTTAGGTTGATCTCAGGTAGCTTTCCTTCATCTGATTGTAGCCAATGAGCGTGAGTGTTTAGAGAGCCAATCGGGTGTCGTCTTGTTTTGGCCATGAGCCAATCAGATCACAGTAGGATTCAGTATTGATGTCCTGTATTGAAACTGAGAGGAGGACATTTGTCAGTGTGTTGTGTGATGGCGATCAAGTTGGTTGGGTTTTTTTGCGTTCTTTCAAATCATTTAGTGAGCTTGTAAAACGTAATAAAATTAAAGTAATGGTGCAAAGAGTTGACCGGTCGCCCAGAAAGCGATGTAAAATAGTATTATTAAGTGAACAAGGCTACAGTTATAAAGAAATTAGAATAAAAATTGGTGGAAACCTAACCAAAGATGGCATTTCTACTGTACACTTTTCCCAAAAGGTTTCCACAATTTTGGCCACGACTGTATTTACTGAATTACTACACGGCACTAAAAAATATTTCAAAGATAAAAATCTATTATCAGTCAACCCGTTTGACCTACCATCTATTTCAGGGGTCCCCAACCTGTCGGCCATGGGCCACTACAGGGCCGTGGCCTCTTGGCAACCGGGCCGTGTGAAGGGAGGGCCAGTGCACGCGCATGTGTGCATGCACTCACCCTCCACACTCATGCTAGCGCCGTCCGAGCATCCCATCGGTGCTAGCATCACCCCGCCCCCAAGTGTCCCACAGGCACTATTGCCACCCCACCCCAAGTGTCCCGCTGGTGCTAGCACCACCCCATTTGCGATGCTCGCACAGCCCCGTTTGTGCGTGCGCATGGGCTCGCATGTGGTCTGTTTGCACTTGTGCGTGGCCCATTTGTGTGTGCATGCACATGCGTAATGGTGCCTGCCTCCCTTTCCGGGCCACCAAACCAAAAAGGTTGGCGACCTCTGATCTATCTACTGTAGAATAAAGCAGTTAACGGTTAACCCCGACAACAAGCTGACTTCCACAGTTACAGTTCTGTTAACCATCTAGTATTGTATTGTAACTCGCAGAAAGTCCACAAATGGCTTCTGATTGACCAGAAACCTACTGCCATGGAGCCCCCGGCTCTCTTCTAGTTTGCTTTCATTTAGATTCCTGTACTTAGCAGGGGTTGGGCTCCGTTGAAGAGATAATTTGGCTGGATGAATGTCTTTAAGACATTCAAAGTTCAAAGGTCATGCTAGAAAGTAGGAAAGGGGTAGAAGTTTGGAACCAACTTCCAGCCAAGGTAGTGGTTTGGTCCTCAATAACTGAGCTAAAACATGCTTGGGATATGTCAATCATCTGCCAAAAAATATAAAATAAAAGAAATAAATATATTTAAATTTAAAAATAATCAGTAAGTATGTCAAAAATGACTAACATTGATGATGTTGCCTAGTTGGGTAATGAAATGTCTGCAAGAAAACCACCAACCTCCGAGAGCACCAAGGATCCCACAGTCCTCCTCCTCCTCCTCCTCCTCCTCCTCCTCCTCCTCCTCCTCCTCTCTTCCACAAACCCCATTTCCTTCTAGCACTGATGATGTTGCCTTGTTGGATAATGAAACATCTGCAAGAAAACAACCAAGCTCAGAGAGCACCAAAGACCCCACAGTTCTCCTCCTCCTCCTCCTCCTCCTCCTCCTCCCTTCCACAAACCCTATTTCCTTCTACAGTTGATGATGTTGCCTAGTTGGGTAACGAAACGTCTGCAAGAAAAACACCAAGCTCAGAGAGCATCATCCCCTCCCCCCTTATATTAAAAAAAAATATAACAAAAATCTCAAAGGACAGACTCCATGGATCACTAGGTCTTTTTTCTGCCGTCCGTTTTCTTTGTTTCTGCATTCAAAATCCCAGCCAAGATTCATTCAGGCTTCATACAGGAAGGATTTTATTTAAAACCCAAAAGGTGTCCCTGATTTGCTCATGTGAAGAGCCACTCCATACGGTCCCTTCTTAAATTGAAGCTTTGCCACGATTTAAGAATTTGGGAGGTGGGGGGTAAGAACGCTTCATCAAAGCCACCCCAATCTTACGTCTGGTCGAAGCGGTGATAAATGCATTTGATTTACATTCACGCTGGAATGTTTGGTGACGCTGGGGGACCAGAAAACAACTTTTGCTAAACATATTGCCTTGCTTCCTTGTTTGCACACTGTCACAACCCTTTCCGAAAAGTGCCACCCTCTTCGCAACCTCCTTGGCGAGCGGCGTTTCTCCTGCCCTGCCACTGTAGAAGGTTGAGGTGGGTGGGTGGGTGTGTGTGTAGATAAAATTGTGAGACAGAAGGATTAACTAGCATCTGCGATTGTTAGATTCCCAAGGGTGGTTGAGTCTTCGAAATTCATATCTGGAGGTGTGATTTTTTTCCAAATGGAAAAGGGGAGGGGGTGTGCAAGGGATGTAATGTGTCTATTGGAATAAATACACAACACATGGCAAGGTAAAAAAAAAAATCATGAGCGGGTTTCTTTGTTTTAGCTTTTAGGAATGTTGAAAGAAAATAAAAAGGATTAGAGTTTATATTTACACGAATACCTTCGTCGGCACTGTTTCCCTGTGGTTGTAGATCAGACATGTCAAACACAAGGTCCGGGGGCCGGATGCGGCCCGCGAAGTGGTTTCATGTGGCCCGCGAAGCCATCCTGGAAACAGTGAGGCAACGCCCCCCCCGCTGCCTTGGCCCTGGCCCAGGCCGGCCGGGAGCCAATGTACAATTTTGTGGTGGCCATCTATGCTGAAACGCATTCAGTCTTAGCTCCACAAGGCCGTCTGGAAACAGCGAGGAACCAGCCCCTGCCGTATTGGCTCCACCCGCTGGGTGCATGCTGGGGAGGTGTCCCCCTTTGTGAGGAATGAAGAAATGGACCATGCCTTGGCGCTTGCCCCAGTCCCACCCCCTTCTGCCAGAGACCCTCAGATCTGTCCCACTCCTGCCCAGGTCCCCACAGGCACCCTTGACGCGAACGATGTAGAGCTAGCCAGTAGGCTGCACCCACCCGGCCCCCCGAGGGCAACCGCAATGCTGATGCAGCCCTCAATGAAATTGAGTTTGACACCCCTGTTGTAGATTCTCTTAAAAACCTTTTTTTCCCCCTCTGAAATCTACTCCTCAACTCATCTGGCCTCTCTGCTTTTAATATTCTAGGGAGCTGAGATAAACGTCAGCCTCCGATTAATCATTAGAGGATTTAGCTGCTTAGCTACCATATTAAAGGACTTGGCTGGATTCTCACCTTTCGAATTAAAAAGTTGACGGAGCCTGAGAGAATCCGTGGTACAAGACTGAAGATGTTCAAATGTTTTTGGAACATTTTATTTGGTTTAAAGGAGCTTTCCAGCTGCTTAACACACTGACCTCATAGCCACATCTGATAACAGGAAGAGATAACCATGGCAGGTTAACAGAACCCAGTGGTTGAGTTCGTATAACATTGCATTTGACGAACAAATAAACCATATGATGGCTTAATCCTTAATGCAACATGGTAAAACATAGAATAATACAATGGGAAGGGACCTTAAAGGTCTTCTAGTCCAACCCCCCCTGCCCAAGGCAGGAGTCCTTATACCCATCCCAGACAAATGGCTGTCCAATCTTTTTTGGGAGACCTCCAGTGATGGAGCACCCACAACCTCTGGAGGCAAGCCGTTCCACTGGTTAATTGTTCTCACTACTATCAGGAAATCCCTCCTTAGTTCCAGGTTGGGCCTCCTTTTGACAACCTTCCACCCATTGCTTCTTGTCCTGCCCTCAGGTGCTTTGAGGAGTAAGTCAACCCCCTCTTCTCTGGGACAGCCCTTCAACGATTGGAAGATGCTAGCATGTCACCCCTAAGCCTTCTCTTCATCAGGCTAAACCAGGGGTAGGCAACCTTGGCTCTTTTATGACTCGTGGACTTCAACTCCCAGAATTCCTGAGCTAGCATGGGGGAACTATGGCCCCCTCATGACTCGTGGACTTCAACTCCCAGAATTCCTGAGCCAGCATGGGGGAACTATGGCCCCCTCATGACTCGTGGACTTCAACTCCCAGAATTCCTGAGCCAGCATGGCTCAGCTTGGAAACCTCTCCCTTTGCCCTCAGCATGGCTGGCTCAGGAATTCTGGGAGTTGAAGTCCACGAGACATAAAAGAGCCAAGGTTGCCTACCCCTAGGCTAAACATACCTAGTTGCCTTCATCGCATGCTTTAGCCTCCAGATCCCTTATCATCTTTGTCGGTCTTGCCACCTCCAGATTTATGAGCCAGAAGAAAGCACTGATGATGCTACCTAGTAGGGTAATGAAACGTCTGCATGAAAACAGCCGAGCTCACAGGGCACCAAGGATCTCATAGAAGAAGTGGGGTTTTTTTCAACTGAGAATAGGCAGCTGCTAACCACTCAGTAACTACTTAATATGACAAGCCAGCTTGATGCCTCTCTGTAACCAAGCCGTCATGGCATAACACGGCCATGGCAGTTAATTTCCCCAAGGGGACATATGAGAAATTGGGACTGTTATGGAAGGCCGAACCAAAAGGGCTGTGAAAATACATACCGTATTTCCCTGAAAATAAGACCCAACCGGAAAATAACCCCTAGCATGATTTTTTCAGGATGCTTGTAATATAAACCCCACCCCAAAAATAAGCCCCATTTAAGATCATCAGCCAGATCAGGGGTAGGCAACCTTGGCTCTTTTATGACTCGTGGACTTCAACTCCCAGAATTCCTGAGCCAGCCATGCTGAGGGGAAAGGGAGAGGTTTCCAAGCTGAGCCATTCTGGCTCAGGAATTCTGGGAGTTGAAATCCACGAGTCATAAAAGAGCCAAGGTTGCCTACGACGCATTTAGTACCTTATTTCCCCGAATATAAGCCCTATCCAGAAAATAAGCCCTAATGCGTCTTTTGGAGCAAAAATTAATATAAGACCCGGTCTTATTTTGGGGGAAACACGGGTAGACACACAAGCATGGACCTACATTAATTAGAAAAAAAAAACCATAGTTGCCTTCAAAATACAGGTAGTCCTCGACTTACGACGGTTCATTTAGTGATCGTTCAAAGTTACAACGGCACTGAAAAAATGACTCGGCCATTTTTCACCCTTACGACCTTTGTAGCATCCCCATGCTCACATGATCAAAATTCAGATGCTTGGCAACTGGGTTCATATTTATGACCGTTGCTGTGTCCTGAGGTCATGTGATCCCTTTTTGCAACCTTTTGACAAGGAAAGTCAATGGGGGAATCCAGATTCACTTAACAACCGGGTTACCGACTTATTGACTGCAGTGATTTGCTTAAAAACCGTGGCAAGAAACTTTGTAAAATGCGGCAAAACTCACTTTAACAAATGTCTCTTTAATGGCAGAAATTTTGGGCTCAGTTGTGGTCCTAAGTCGAGGACTATCTCAAAAAGCAGTGGCATACACTTATTTACATTTGATTTCTAATTTCCGATTGACCTCACATGGACTAGACAAAGGATCATAAAATGCCCAGGTCTAATCTATGGGGTATTCCCATTTTATCCATAGGATGGGCAGTGAACTAATCGTACAAGTCCTGTCTCCATTTTCTCTGGCACATTATGGAAAATCAGGATATCCAATTACTTATCTCTTGGGGAACGAGATTTATTTTTAAACAGCAATCAATTTATCATTCCTCCCCTTAAGGCAGGGGTAGGCAACCTTGGCTCTTTTATGACTCGTGGACTTCAACTCCCAGAATTCCTGAGCCGGCATGGCTCAGCTTGGAAACCTCTCCCTTTTCCCTCAGTGTGGCTGGCTCAGGAATTCTGGGAGTTGAAGTCCACGAGTCATAAAAGAGCCAAGGTTGCCTACCCCTGCCTTAAGGTGATGCTTCAGGATTCTGTTTGCAAACTACGTAGATACACAGGTAGTCCTCGATGTACGACCACAGTTGAGCCCAAAATTTCTGTTCTTAAGTGAGACACTTGTTAAGTGAGTTTTGCCCATTTTACAACTTTTCTTGCCAGAATTGTTAAGTGAATCGCTGCCGTTCTTCAATTAGTCACCCGGTTGTTCAGCGAATCTGGCTTCCCCATTGACTTTGCTTGTCCAAAAGGGGATCACATGAACTTGGGACACCGCAACTGTCATAAATATGAACCAATTGCCAAGCATCTGAATTTTGATCCCGTGATCATTGGGATGCTGGAAAGATCGTAACTCTGACAAACGGTGATCAGTCCCATTTTTCAGTGCCGTTGTAACTTTGAACGGTCACTAAATGAATCGTTGTAAGACTAGGACTACCTGTATAAAAGAATATGATATGTAGATTTGCAGATATATAAAAAAGTATAAGTGAAGGTTCGCTAACCAAGCTTGTGGGTTGGTTTCTGAACATTTCATTGCCAGGCTAGGTAGCATCTTCAGCGGAGTTTAGGAGGTGTCTAGTGATGCTTCAGTGTCTGTTTATAAGGGATTTGTGTGGTCAGTAGGACTTGTGATGGTGAGGTCACATCAGGTGAGGGTCCCATCAAGTCAGGTAATCGATGGGTCTTGTGATGGGTCAGGCATGGGTGTGTCAAGTGAGGTTTTGTGATGGGTCTTGTGATGGGTCAGGCATGGGTGTGTCAAGTGAAGGTCTTGTGAT